AGAGAAGGAAGAGTTGTAACAGGGTCCTTGCCCACATTTCAATATTCCTGCAGCCAACATGGAATACAGCTGCCTCTGTTTTGGGAGTTTGATGATACTTTTGATTTCCCTCCTCTGCCAGCAGTTCCATCTTCCCTGTGAGGGTGGGGAGGGCCTGGCACAGGTTGTCCAGAGAAGCTGTGGCTGCCCCTGGATCCCTGGAAGTGTCCAAGGCCAGGTTGGACGGGGCTCGGAGCAACCTGGGCTAGTGGAAGGTGTCCCTGCCCATGGCAGGGGGTGGAATCTCTAAGGTCCCTTCCAACCCAAAGCATTCTGTGATTCTTGCAAACAACTCAAGGCATGACCATGATGATAATTCTTCATAACAGCACAGCAGGAAAGGTACTGACCCAAAGCCTTGTTAATGCACAACACAGATAAGAGTTTGTTGGGTGGTATTTTTTTGGCCTTTTTTTAGATATTGAATTCAGGCAAAATCAATGTTTCTGAATAACAACAAATCATTCATACCCATTGCAATGGTGATCTTTTCTCCCTTGACTCATACACAGGAGTGCTCACATAAATATACATCCACTTCCCATCCACACAGTATCAAACAGCCCAGAAGTGCTACAGGACCCAGCATAACACGTTGGTTTAGGAAGATCAACCCTGCAGTCACGTGGGTGCACTGAGAGGAGATACTAAAGCTCAGCACACAGGCACTTCTGGCTGAGCTGTGCAAAGGTCACCCTGTGCTGTGAATAAGCTCATGTCAACACTGTGAGTTTATGAGAGTGCAGAAGACACTTTGCAGAGGAGATTCAGGCTCTCTGGGTTAAAAGGTTATGAAATTTAGTCTAATCTCTATTTCTGTTTTCTTAGACGTTCACTATCAATCTATTATAGGCAAAGAAGTCAGTGCAACCCAAAACTAGGTTTCCCAACTTCTTTTATGTGACCCTGACCATATTTATCATAGAATCACAGAAGAGTTTGGGTTGGAAGGGACCTTAAAGATTTCACCCCTCTGCCACCCCCCTTTCACCAGCCCAGGTTGCTCCAAGCCCCGTCCAACCTGACCTTGGACATTTCCAGGGATGGGGCAGCCACAGCTTCTCTGGGCAACCTGGGCCAGGGCCTCCCCACCCTCACAGGGAACAGTTTCTTCCTAATATCTAATCTACAAGACAACTTCTACAAGACTGTTCAGACTTGTAGTTTAAACTGCTCAGAATTCTCCCAAGCTACCCTGAAATCTCTTTTTTAAATCACACTGATTTGCATCATCATTTCTCAGACTGAAATAAAATAATTTCTTTTTGCCAAAACATTCCCTCCAGCACTCCCTTGAGAACCACTTGTGTCTCTGTGCTTTATCACAGGAGTTTCACATTTGGCACAGGGCTTCTCCTGGTGAAAGGTTTGTATCTGTTGCCTTCACAACTGTCCACAAAGTTCTTATACTGGAACACACTCACAGTCAAACAGAATAAGCAAGATACCAAAAGATTTAACACCCAGGAACAGAAAATCACCAGAATAATCAGAATGTATTCTAAGTACATAGAAACTAATAAGGAGATGAGCACTTGTCAACATGAATCCCTCAGGAACAAAACAAGCTGATTCAGTCTAATTTTGGTCTCCAGTGCATGAGACTTTGTGGGTAAGGAAGAAGCAGCAGATTCCACACACCTCAATGTCACTGAGGCTCCTGACATTGTCCCACGTGGGTGAAGAATGCCCTGGCTGAAGTCATGACACAAATCTGGTTGGAATCTGCAGTCTGAAAGCAGTTTCCAATGGTTCACTGTGAAATGCAAAGGACAAATTGAATGGTTACTCAGCTGTTCATAAGATCCACTCAATATTTTATTGATAGCCTGGATGAGGGAATGGACTGTGTGTTTATTAAATCTGCCAAGATTAAATCTGCAAAGAGTGGCTGCGAATATATGGGGGAGAGTGGTATTAGAAACTTTTGACAACTTGGACAACTCTATAAATACAGGAGCCATCTCAATGGTAAAAAGCATTGTGGTTTCACTTAGGCAGGAGTAAAGTGCACAAATACAGGATGGACATCAGCTGGGCAGAGAGCAGTCTGGAAAACAAACCAGTCTAAAGGTTCTGATAACAAGCTGAACAGGGGTTATTGTCTGAGCAGAGAGAAAACACTCCTCAGGCATATTAGCAGAAGAATTGCCTACAAGACATCTTGCAGGTCCTTTTGCTGTTCTCAGTGACACCTCAGTGCAGAGGCACATGCAGCTTTGGGTGCTGCTCCTCTGACAGGATAAGCAGCAACACGAAGGGTTGGAGGGCTGGAAAACATGACCTGAATCAGGAGACTGAGAACAGAGCATGCTCAAAAGAGAGAACACCATGGAAAGATGCAGTAACAGCCCTGACAGAGCAGGATCAGTGCAGGAACAGTCCTGGAGCAGATCAAAGTCTGCTACAAAATGGAAGAGAAACAACCGCTCTGCACACGCCAAGAATATCATAAGCAGATCTGATTGTGTGTGGAAGGAGGAGATGGAATAAGTGATCAGCTGAGATTTCTTCCAGCTTCATTTTTCAATGATTCTGTGCCCAGCTGAAGATGATTAGAGTTTGTCTGTACCCAATTTGCCCTGATGTACCCCAGTGCCTTCACACAGCAATTGCTCATGCACATTTGCATCATTTTTGCATTAATGTCTTCATTAAGGTTAGTGCTTTACGTTCATCCTACCGTCCTAAGACTATCTGTCTTACAAATACCTTATCAAAATGCTATTTGCCAAACCAGCCTGACTCACAACTCATTCATCAAAAGCCATTTTAATAATTAGTCCTCAAATCCTAATTCAATAAAATCTTCGTATCTTGATTTTCCTTCCCACCCAGCACAATGGGCAAAATGGTTTGTAATCCTTTGGCACCATTACTCTCAGACTCACAGAACCCAGATTAGAGCTGCTGGTGCCAGTCTCCCTTTCCAATGACATAATTTTAGAAACTACTACAATTTTAGAAAAGAAAATGTGGACATCTTGGGCCTCTCAGCTGCAGATTCCTACAGAAGACACTGCTGGAGTCATTAGTATCCAGTCCAATCCCTGGCACAAAGGCAGGTGTAGCCCTACTATGTCCATTCTGACACCAAAAAAAATCTTAAAATACTTGAAATCTTCCCAAACTACCCATTTCAGTGATTCTACATCCTGTATTAACAACTGATGTCCCTGTTAGTGCAGTTCAGCCTGTTATCTCCAGCCATTTTCCCATGGAAAGCAGTTAAAGCTGCAGTGGCCAGGCAGGGCAGCTGATAAATATGACACTTTCTTAGTCACTGTGACTTCTCAGGGTGCCAGGGGAAAGCTGTGCTGCCTTATCAAATCATTATAATCAATGACCAATATTGATCAGAACCAGCTATAGCCCAGCTTCCTGCAGGATCCATCGAACCAAATGGCTGGAAACTGCTGGAAGGACAGCAAAGATCCTTGTGAAATTGTGCAGCTTCTGAGATTTATGGAAGCACAGCTCCATTTCACTGGCATACATTCAGTTAAATCAACATTATATAAAACTTCATCTATAAGGTTTCTTATATAAAAGAAATCATGCACGCCACAGACCTCGTTAGCTCTGTGTACCCTGTTAAATTGAGTTGATATGTCAGAGAGTAGAAAACCAAAAGATTCCTGATTTATCATCTTAATCCTTTACATTTCCTCTCAAGAATTCACACTGCTGTCATTTTCTCCTCCATTCCCATTACCTTCTTCGTAACATATTGGCCTTCTTACTTTTACTGAATAATTCCTGGTCTATTATATCTATAATTATACTAATAATTAAGCATGCCTTTTCATCAGCTAGCAGCTAATTACTTCTGTTCCTACCCAGCTTGCTCAGAAAACAGTCAATTCATCTGCATCCCCATCACTCTCCCCGTTGCTAAGCAGTCAATGCCACTCAGCAGTGGCACTGCAATGGGGTGGGGTGGCTCACCCTGCATTAAAGGTGCTTTGTGGCACCTGAGTGGAGCTGCCTTTCACCCTCAGAGGAGTTTCTCACCTGAGAAAGGTTTAGTCACCTTTGCTTGGCAAAGACTCCTTATCCCAAACAGCTTTGGAGCTGCCTGGAAGCAGCTACTGCTCACTGCAAGGAGTAGTTTGTCATTGGAGGGACACAAAAAGAACTGGATCCTAAACCAGCCTCTGCCAATTCAGTCTTAGGCCTTTTTTTGGTCAGACCATACCCAAGATTTTGTTAGATGTGAACTGAAGTCATGAAGCCTTCTAAGCTCTCCATTATCTGGACTTCTGTAAAGCTTTTCATGTGGTCCCCCACAACAGGATGGTGAGAGGGATGGAGCAGCTCTGCTGGGAGGAAAGGATGGGAAACTTGGGATTGTTCAGCCTGGAGAAGAGAAGGCTCCAGTGTGACCTAATTGTAGCCTTCCAGTGCCTGAAGGAGCCAACAGGAAAGATGGAGAGGCATGATTTACAAGGGGTGGAGCAACAGGACAAGGGGGAATGGCTTCACTCTGCCAGAGGGCAGGGTTAGATGGGATATTGGGAAGAAATTCTTCCCTGTGAGGGTGATGAGACCCTGGCACAGGTTGCTCAGAGAAGCTGTGGCTGCCCCTGGATCCCTGGAAGTGTCCAAGGCCAGGTTGGAGGGGGCTTGGAGCAACCTGGGCTAGTGGAAGGTGTCCCTGCCCACGGCAGGGGGTGGCACTGGATGATCTTTAAGGTCCCTTCCAACCCAAACCCTTCTGTGATTCCATGACTTTCCAGTGTTATCACAGTGCAGAGCCACAGGCACTCACACACTGTCCATCCCATCTGGATCATTCCTGTGTTTGCTGGTGTGACAACTGGACATTTTCATCCTGACTCTGCTGCTCACTCTGCCCCAGATCACCCATGCTAGTTAGTACCAAACTTCAGTGACGTGGTGAGAAATCAGCTCAGATTGATTTTTTTTCCCTCAATTACCTGTCATTTTGTCTGTTGGAGGCTGGAGAGAGAAGCTGCTGTTCCAGGGCAGGAATTCCCACCATCGCCAGCCTTGGCAAGCTGCTTCTTTCCCTGTTTCTCAGTTAATGAAATCAGGTAAATTAACATTAGTGAAATGTTAATGGCTGATATTTGTAGGCTTCCCAGAGACAGGGCTGGGCCAAACCCCTTAATCCTTTTAGCTGATTCATGACTGCATCCTCTGAAATGAAGTAATGTTGGCAAATGCAGTGATTGTGCTTGATTCCAGAGAAAGGGAATTCGAAAATGAGGAAATTTGTTAAAGAAAACGCTCAGAGTGGCAGCCAGAAAGGTAAAATGTTTTCAGATGGCAGGTAGACTATTTTAGGATTCTATATTGGAGGCTCAAAGCAAATGCATATAACCTGTCAAAAAAAAAAGACTTGAGAGGAAAACAAAAAGCTGGCATCATAAAACAGCAGGATCAGGGAGGCTCTTGGAAGTTAAAAGGTATCCTGCAAAAAGCTGAAGTTGTGTCTGAAAAAGGAAAACTAAAAAGAACATAAATTCTGGCAGACTAAATGTAAAAGCACAATAACGTAGACTGAAGAAAGAGTTTAGAAGCAGTTTGCTAAAGAAATAGAAAAGTATGCTATAAATCCTTCCTGAACACACCAAGAGCAAGAAGCCTTGGAAGAGTCAGTGTGAGGAAGAAGACTCAGAAAAGATGATGCCATCACAAAAAAATCCCAAGCTCTTTTTTTTTTCTCTTCCCAAATCTCTGTTCACCTGGAGAACCTTGAAAACTCTCGAACCAGCATCTTGTTTGTAAGGCCTTCAGAGAAGGCTTGTCTTGATTTCAGGGTGTTAAGCGGAGATTACAGACCAGATAAAATGAATAACAACATATCACTGGGCATGGATGGAATTCAGGCAAGGTTTTTATTGAATGTTAAATATGAATCATCTGACCTAACACCCTCAGTATGTATGTAACCTTTTGCTGAAAATTGCTGTGATTTTCAAAGGGCTGGAAGGTAACGAATAAGAAATCAGGTTTTTTAAATAAATCCAGTGGCAATTCAAGAAACCACAGATCACTGAGTTTAATGTCCATTTGGGTCATATTGGCTGAAGCTCTGGCAAAGAACAGAATTAGCGAGCACATGAATAAAAGTAACATGTTAAGGAAAAGTAAACATGACTTTTGTAAAAGGAATCTGAGCCTCCTAAATCTGCTGGAATTCTCTGAAGGACTCAAAAGCATGTAAATAGCAGAGCTCCAGCTGAGAAATTTTCCCTGCATTTCCAACTCACCCCAAGCTTCCAGAAACCTCATGCATAGAAGGTCCCATCAAAGGCTCTTAAATAAACTAAACAGTCAGGGACTGCAGGTAAGGACCTCACAGAGTTAAATAAGAATTTAGTACTGGAAAAAGAAGATTATACTAAAGGATGAGTTTTCACAGTAGAAGATGATCATCAGGGGAGTCCCATGGGGATTAAGGTCTGTGGTGCTCAATGTGTTCAGGAATGATTTGGGAAGTTGGTTGAACAGTGAAGAAGATTTCTGATAAAAACTAAATTAATTAGGATAATATTTACTACAAAAAACTTCAAGATCTTACAACAGTGAGCAAGCCTCATGACAAAGTGGAAGATAAATTTCAGCCCTGACAACCATAATCTGGCTATCCACAAAAAGCAACACTAACTCTACACAGGGAGTGATGGGCTCTGAGCTAGTTTGCACAATTTAGGAAATGCATCTCAACGTTGTAACAGCTTGTTCTATGAATATATGACCCCATTGCTGAATAGCAGGCAAAAAAAAGTTCCAAAGTTTAGCACGGCTTGGAGAGAAAAGCACAACCTTGCCCCTGTATGATTTATGGTGTCTCTGCTTCTCCAAAACAAAGCACACTTCTGGTACCTTCACCTGAGACAAACTGTAACAGGCAAAAGAAAAGCTACATGGCAGGATGACAAACATGGTAAGTACAAAACCTCTTTCATGTGAAAAACAAAGTTAGCATGAGAAGTTGAATGGGAAGGGATCACTTGGCATTTGTCGTTCCCAGTCGTGCCGAGCAGGCCAGGTGCCAGGGAGGGGGGACGGACACCGTACAAAAGCTCTGTCTCGTGCCTCTTTGTTCAGCTGCTGAAGCCTTCTATGCTGTCAGACAACGATTTCAAGGGCTGTGGGAGAGCTGTGACAGCTACACTTCGTACATAATCCCTGCATGTTTTCAGGAAAAAGAATATAAGGGGGGAAAGGAGGAGTAAACAATTGCTGTACTTGCGGTACTTTCTGTGCCCGTTAATTCTAATTCATCATTCACTAGAGGTCTCTACTTCTTTTCCCATCTGCCCTCCTCCTACCACATTTTCTGAATTAAAATTTAAAAAAAAATAATTATTAAAAACCCACAATTAGGCAGCATTTATTAACATCTGCCTGTAGTGACCCAGCTGCTGTTTGCCAGCCTCTACAGTGATGTATTGTAACATCCTCCTCTCACCTTTCTACACTTCTTTCCCAGCTCCTTTGAGCACAGGGGGTTCAGGCTGTTAACTCAGCTCCTTCAGGGACAGCTCTACCTTTCAGTCACTTGTGCAGTGACTTGTACCAGTTGGTCCCAGCCCTGATCACAGCCTTAAACTCCTGGCGAGCCATTAATAATACACAGCAATCATTTTAATTGCAACCGGGTGTCTGGAATTTAGGAGCTGTGCACAGACTTCCTTCTATCCACAATATTATTGTCCCATTGTGCATTTTGGAGTTTAGCTCTCATTAAAAGTAATAGAGGGAAATAGTCTGTAGCAAACTGAATGTGTTTGTTTTCACAGTTCACCTCCTGCTCCTCTGCACTAAAACACTCTCGCTCGGTGACAAGACCACAGCTGTTGCCATCGTTTCCTTACCTGCAGAGTGCAATATTTAGCTGGAGGGACACTGAAGTTTTTCTGTTTGTTAGTTATCATGTCAACAACTCTCACCTTATCACTTCAGTTTCCATTCTGTTGATAAAACCTGTCAGCCTTCCTTGAGTGGTTCCAGGCCCTCAGAAGAAATCACATTAAATTGGCACAACCAAGTAAATCTGGAAGGGATGTGCTCCTGGCTTACCAAAGGAAATGGGGGAGGGCTTGAATTTCTCTCCCTCTTCCTCCCTGCACAGCTCCAATGTCCAAGTGCTTGGAGCAGTGTTGAAATCCTCCCTACGGACTCAGCAGTTCAAGTCAGATCAGGTCTTTGAATATGGCCCAGAGGAGACATCTGTGGAGCCGAAATTGATATGTTTAAGTGCAAGAGACAATAATCATTTCTTCAAGTATAAGCTAAAAATACCCGGAAAAAAATGGAATTCATAATGGAGATTTTAAAGATCTGTGACACACCAGAGCCTGCACAAGGGTTTTAATGAGAGAGAAGCCAATTTAATTGGTCAGTGCGAGCAGATGCTTTGCTGGGTGAGTGGGCTACGAGGTCTCACAGCCCTGGTTAACGCCAGGAGCATCAGCACTGTCCTCAACATGGCTGTGACAAGCCCGTGTCACAGCAGCGCAGTGTCAGAGCCAGGGAACCTCGGTAATCAACGTCTCCACGGTGTCAGATCACAGAGCCACGGGGAGAAAGCACTAAAAGGAGAAGGCAAAAGCCGACAAAGGAACATTCCTGAAGGTAATTGCAGGACTGACCATCTCCTCTTGTCGTTTGCTTCATTATCACTCTGGGCATGAAGCTGAACCAGCCTGTTAAGTTTTAACGCTGTGTTAACAGGGAGCTGCCGAGCACCAGGGCTGAGGTTTACAGGCCTCCCCTGTGAAAACTCTTCTGCAGTGTGTGTCACCGGCCTAGGAAAGCCAGGAATAACTTCCGTGGCCCGTTCAATTACAGACACTCACACCCAGCTCCCTCTCCTCGTGGCACGGCTCATCAATCAGGGCTTCTGTCACCGTGTCTCTTCTCATCGCAGTCACCAGAAGGCTCTGAGCTCCCTCCCAGTCCGTGCGACATTTACTGTCAGGGGCTGTCAACACCAAGAGATTCTCCCAGGGCCTCCGAGTTCATCACAAAGCAACAAGATCTATCCCCCAAACGCGCTCCCAGTTCCAGCTCTGGATTACAGTGACTGACTGAGGGGCTTTGCAGCACTCGGGGAAGAGTGAAACAGCAGCACGAGCTGCAGCTTATGCCCAAATACTTTTGTTTTCTTATTCTCTTGTTAGAAAAATACAACTGCTTTAAGAGAGGTTTCAGGCTAATGATTAATTAAGCTTCCTCAACACCATCCCTTATAAACTTATTAAGAGAAAGCTGAGATTGTTTACTTAGAAATTTAGCCTTCCCATCTTTAGCATTGATCCTGCCTTCACTCTCTGTTTAACAACACAGTGACCTAGTGGAAAAAATTTATAAAACTTAATAAATTGCAGTAAGCAATATTGACAGAGTGTGTATATGCACATTTGGGTTTGTATGAACATATTATAAGAAATCTAATAAAGTAAAACAAACACATTTGCTTTGTCTGTGAGCTGTGAAACAAGATCCCTGTAATTACAATGTTAGAAGCATAGTTGGTCAAAGGGGTATGGTGAGATTTTTGGCCATATATTTCTGGTTCGAGATTAAAAAACAACTATTGTTTATCGAGGGTTACATGTTGCACAAAACTGCTTTGCTCAAAACGCAGAAAAATAAAAATGTACATGAAAACCCAAATTAGCAGAAGACCTCTATGAGACCAGAGGAACCAGTACCCAGAGAATAAAGTTCCAGTGGCAAATGTGCCTCGAAGAAACAATGGAGGACTTGGAGATATGTTCATTTTATCTGAACTTTAAGGAGGAATGGGCCTTAATGAGTGTTTAAACCAGTGACTGAAAGAGTGCTTTCAATTGCAAGGTTTTTAAAAGACTATAGAATGTATATAACCTTCTAGAACTTTGATGTCTATTTTTAACTGGCTTTCTACAACTAGCCTGGTTTCCTCTTCCAACCAAAATAAACATATTTCTTAAGGAGCACAGTATTTATTTCCCTAAGGAGCAAAGTATTTATTTCCCTAAAATTACCATGATAACAAATAGAGTTTTCTCAGCCTCTTCTGGTACACTCACTGTGCTCAGCCATGGATCACCACCACCTGAGTCCAACATTCCAGGCCATTTTCCATCCAATTTATAGCCCATTTACTCAATCCATACCTCACCCACCAGGCTGGTAAGATGACACTATGAGTGCCCATGTCAAAGTCTTGGTAGATTCAAGGTAAACACCATTCACATGTCTCCCCTTGTTCTCTGAGCCAGTCTCATCGTCAGGTTGTTTAGGCAGATTGTCCTTGTCAAAGCCATGGTGGCTGTTCCAAATCACCTCTTACTTAAAATAGTTTCCAGGAGAAACCATCACCTTCCAGAGAGCCAGGCTAAATCAAGTTGCCTAATCTTTCTTCTTACCCTTCTTATAGAATCACAGAGTGGTTTGGGTTGGAAGGGACACGAAAGATCATCTCATCCCACTCCCTGCCATGGGCAGGGACACCTTCCATTAGACCAGGTTGCTCCAACCTGGCGTTGGACACTTCCAGGGATCCAGGGGCAGCCACAGCTTCTCTGGGCAACCTGTGCCAGGGCCTCCCCACCCTCACAGGGAAGAATTCTTGAATAAAAGTCTGGTGTTTGCCCTCTTTCAGTCAGCAGAATCCTCTCCTGATTATTGCGGCATCAGCCACTTCCCCCAGCACCCTTGGGTGCACGGAACAAAATCCCACCATCAGCACCCAGAAAAGCTGCAGTGACACACTCTGCACCTGCAGCAATTCCTCATGGCTTGTCACCTCTTCCTCCTGAGTGTCCTTCCCACTCTGCAAGGACACAAACCAGCTGAGCTGGTCAGACCCCACAGCAGCCCTCACTGACCATCCTCCTGCTTTAGCTTGAGCCACTCTCTCTTCAACATTAACTCCTTTACCCACGTTACTCCACAGCAGCTGATACCTCTGGGCTTTGCCATCTCAGCTTTGTCTTGCTGTGACAGTTCCCTTTACAGAATCATGGGATTCTAGAATGGTTCAGGCTGGAAGGGCCCACGGTGGATCATCTGGTCCCACCTCCCTGCTCAGTCCCAGAGCACATGGCACAGGATTGTGTCCAGACAGCTCTGCAAGATCTCCAGTCAGGAGACTCCACACCCTCTCTGCTCTCTCTCCAGGGCTGGGGCACTGCCCAGCCAAGAAGTTCTTCCTCCTGTCCAGCTGCAACTTCCTGGGCATCAGTTCCTGCCCGTTCCTCCTGGGCCATTGCTGGGCCCCCCCGAGCAGAGCCTGCTCCAGCCTCTGCCCCCTCCCTGAACCCCTGACACCCCCTGGGGAGGGCCCCTCTCAGGCTCTGCTCTGGAGGCTGAACAGCCCCAGCTCCCTCAGCCTTTGCTGCTCCCAGAGCTGCTCCATCCCTTGGGCATCTCCGCAGCCTGCGCTGGCCCCGCTGCAGGAGCTCCCTGGCCCTGCTGTGCTGAGGAGCCCGAGCTGGGCCCAGCCCTGCAGATGTGCCTGCCCAGGGCTGGGCAGAGGGGCAGGATCCCCTCCCTGCCCTGCTCCAATGCTCTTCCTGATGCCCCCAGGATCCCATTGGCCTCCTTGGCCCCCAGGACTCACAAGTCCTTCTCTGCAGAGCTGCTTCCTCATCCCTCAGCATCCCCATAATATCTTCGTCTTCATCTGAAGATTTTCCTTTCTCCAGTGTCAGACACAAACACACAACTGCACCACGGACACTGTGCAGCTCCTGTGGAATCCTCACAACGTAAATCCAAACAGATCAGCTCTGTTGTTGCCTCGCCAGTTGCAGAAAAGACAGAGAGCATCACTCATCAACTGGCTGGGGACTTGAAAGGAAACTAGGACTAACAGCCTTAAAAATACAGTGATTAGCTGAGAAAACCTTGGAAGAACCAATACCAACAAATGCAGGTTCAGATTTTGGAGCATTAATTAATGGTATCAACCTGATGAGCGAGAAAATTAAGGCAAGATTATATAGTGGAGATGCTGATATTTCTATTTTGCATGTAATTTTCATCCCCAAACAAACTGTAGTAGCTTAGCAAACACCGGTCTACTAACATGAGACAATTACAGACACATTTAGTAAAACAGGCAACTAAATTACTTTGTAATTACACTATTAAGCCAAATCTGGGGTGAAAAGGATAAAGGATTTGTGTCCTATATAACATTACCAAAAAAAAAAAATAAAAGCTGTGGAAAACCTAGAGAAACTTGGTAGTCTAAAGCAGGTGTTTAGGCTGATGAAGGAGGGCGATTATGGATCTCTGGGAAAGCCACACTTGAAGCTAAACTTGCAGCTATTGAAGCATAAACCACAGATAAAACTGAACAAGAACCCTGAGTTCATAACAGGAATTACCAGCACAGATGGTTTGAAAAGAGAAAGACCAAGAATTTCTGTGCCTCTGGAACAAAGAAATAAACAAAAAAGTGGAGTGTTCAGCTGGAATGAGCATGGCAATATTCCTACTGCTGAAGGAAACCACAAGGGAAGGAGGACATAAAGCTGATTTTTCCTCCCGCTGCCATGGCACGGTCTCCGTTGGGAACTCTGCCATCTCCTGTTGCAATACTGCTGGAACAAACACAGCACATATAAACCAAGGGAGCCCCTGTGAGCACCATCAGCCACAAACCCAGGCTAAATGGGACCAGAGGTGGGGGGAGAACCACACACAACCCAAACCATACCCGCGCCTTAACGCATTTATTGCACTTTTCCATTCACAACTGAAACAAATGTTTTGCGTTTATACCCATGTCCCAAATATAATTAATCATGTCACTGATTGCAGGATGAGCAACTGATGGAGTTTCTGATCACACCTGAAATGACTTTCTTGTGTTTCAATCTCCCCTTGTCCAACTGGGGTGCAGCACCCAAGCCCCCTCCTGCTCTGCAGGTGCAGGCCAGTCTGGGTGAGGAGTCACAGAACGGGTCAGGGTGGAAAGGACCACAGTGGATCATCTGGTCCCACCTTCCTGCTCCACCAGGGCCATCCCAGAGCACATGGCACAGGATTGTGTCCACACAGCTCTGCAAGATCTCCAGGGAGGAGACTCCACCCCCTCTCTGCTCTCTCTCCAGGGCTGGGTCACTGCCCAGCCAAGAAGTTCTTCCTCCTGTCCAGCTGCAACTTCCTGGGCATCAGTTCCTGCCCGTTCCTCCTGGGCCATTGCTGGGCCCCCCCGAGCAGAACCTGCTCCAGCCTCTGCCCCCTCCCTGCAGCCCCTGAGACACCCTGGGGAGGGCCCCTCTCAGGCTCTGCTCTGGAGGCTGAACAGCCCCAGCTCCCTCAGCCTTTGCTGCTCCCAAGATGCTCCAGTCCCTCGATCAACTTTGTAGGAAAAGGCACAGTTTATTTGGTTTATAATCACAGGTTCAGGAATCCTTCAGCACTTCACACTACTAATGTCGTCCCTATATTTAAGGCAGGGCTCATCTCTGGGTTCAGGGTGTCTTCAGAGACACCCCAAAGCTGCAGGTACAACCTGGGTCCAGCTGGCTGGAAGGGGTGTGTGTCCCTGCTTGTCCATGGGGTGTTATCCCCCCACCTCGAGCTACAGCAGATCCCAGGGACCTTCCCTGCTGTTATCCCAAAACAGCCTCTTTCCCTCGGTGTGCAAGAGGCTGATCCACACACAGAGTGGAGGTATTTGATTTATTTACAGTTCTGCAAAGCAAGGAGGGGCTGAATGGCAAATCCACAAAGCCAGCAGGACCACTACCAAAACTTTTCACTATTTATACATTTTAGCAAACACAGGCATTCATGTTTATTGGCTACAAGTTGCATAGTTCTCTTATTAATTAACTGTTCTATTTTTTGTTGGTTAATGATTCTCTCACTTCTTTTGTTTGGGTGGGTTTCTGGGGGTTGGTGGCCATGAGATGGTGGTCTCGATCTCCCCCTGCCAGAATTACCTCTAACCCAGCTGGAGCTGATTCAGCACAATCGCTGAGTTGTCTTTATTAATTTCTTCCTTATCTTGGGGGTTCTGCCAGATGTCCTTGTAGCCTGCAAATTCTGCATCCTTTGTGTCCACTCTCAGTGGTTCGTCCTTCTTCCCAAGCTTTGTAAACCTCCCTTAGGCCTGAGACCATTGAAACACGTCGAACCCTAAACCTTAACAGGGCAATTCCACCATCAAGTAATTTGTACTTCTAACACTTGGACATCACTTCAAGCTTTTGAGCTGCTCTGTGTTTCACGGATTAAATATCCCCTCTTGATAAGGCTTGAAAGTACACCAAGATCAAACACCAAAGAACAGCCCAGCCTTTCTTAAGAAAACTTTTTAACATTCCACATTTTGCAACAATACGGCAAGACCCTGTTTCACAAACCCCCTTCTGACCCCCTGTAACACTCTGGCCAAATTGTTAACTATTTCTGACTTTTGAGATGCCAGCACAGTTCACAAGGCAACTCTACCAACAAGTAATTTGTTTTTCAAACACCTGGGCATCTCTTAGAGCTTGCTGGCTGCCGTTTCACGGGTTAAATCTCCCTTCTTGCCGAGCAGGCTTGAAAGCAAACAAAGACCAAACGCGAAAGAATACCATTTCTTGAGAATTTCTTTTTAATAGCCCACATTTTGCAAGACCGCGACAGCCGCCCTCGGGGCCCGCTCCGGCCGTGCCCTCACGGCCCCTCAGCGCGGGCCTCCCGTGGGCGGGGGGCGCTGTGTGCCCGCGCCATGGCGGCGGGGCCGCTCTGGCCCCGCTCTGTGCCCGCCCGCTGCCCATGGCCCCGCCGCGGCCCCGCCGCCCTCACCCGCCGCTCGGCGCCGGCCCCGCGCAGCCCCCGCGCTCCCCGTAGCCCCCTGCGCCGTCCCCCCCCGCCGCTCCCCGGTCTCTATGACCTCGGCGGGGCGGCGGGCGCGATGTGGCGGCTGCTGCTGGGCCGAAGCCGGGGCCGCTGCGGGCCGACCCCCGCCCGGCCCGCCTGCGCCCCCGGGCTGGGCCAGGGCCGCGGGCACAGCCCCGAGCGGTGAGTGCGCGCCCTGCCCGCGCCTGGGGGGCCCCGCGCCGCGGCCCGGCCTCACGGGGCCCGTGTCTGTGGTTGTTCCAGGGCGCCCGCGTGTGAGGATGGGCCGGAGCGAGGAGAGAGGCGGCAGCCGCTGCCCCGCCTGGTGCCCCGCTACTCCGTGCTGGAGGCTGTCACCTGGGTGAGGAGCGCGCCCTGTCCCTGCCGGGGACACCTCGGGGGGTGGGAGCCCCGAAACAAAGCCGGGAACGAGGGGCTGGGTGGAAGCGGGCCGGGAAGAGGGATCGGGGCTGTTTTCCCTGATTTTGTGTGTGGTTCTGTGCAGGGAGCGCTGGGCGCGCTGCTCCTGCAGCTCGTCAGGCAGGTGGCGTGGCTGAGGTCGCTGCCGGACGCCCGGAGGGAGCGGAGGTGTCCCTGGCTGTCCCCGCGGCCCCCCCAGCACACAGGTCAGCTCCGGGTAGGGTTTGTGCCTCGTGGTGTGTTAACTAAGGCTCAGAGGGAGCTGGGAGAGGCTGGCAGATTTCAGGCTCTCTGGGAAGAGTGAGGGCTGGTATCTGTCGGGGGAACCTCTGCTTCTTAACGATTTGATGCAATCCCACTTTGTTTATCCTTTTGTTAATCCCTTACCTTTGTTTTCCGCCCTGGATTCCTCCATGAACTCTCCTCCTGCTTGGCTGTGAGAAGGACACTAAGTAGATCCGGTGTTGTCGCCTAAAGCAGACAATTTTTATGCTCTGTGTTACAGTGGTGACTGAAGCCTCAACCAGCTGTCCCAGTGAGCAGCTGGGGTCCCAGTTCCTGCAGAAAGCAATTCCAGAGGCCACAGCAGAGAATTCATCCTCAGGCATCCCCTCAGGGCAAGGAGAGAGCCAGCCCTGGGCAGAAGTAGGTATGTGCAATGTGCTGCAGGGCAGGGTACTTGTGGCAGGAGGACTTTGGAGTTTCCCCAAGGCAAAGCTTGAAGCCAAGGAGTGTGTCGCCACTTATTGACCCTTGAGGAGGTAGGTGAGAGTGGGAACACAGAATTTCAGAGAGATGAATCAGGAGTCCAGAGACAGGAGGAAAAAGTTCTCCTGAAGGCAGTGACAAGCCTGTGCTGTAGCTGCAGGTGACAACGGCTTTACCTACACTGCTCTGCCTTAGTGGCCTGATTATAGCTCCAGTTCTGTGCTTTTATTATTGTGGACAGATGTCTGGAGCCAGAAGGATTCAGGAGGATACTGCACCACTGATCTGGGAGACATGTGTACATGGTGTGAAACTAAAGGAATTATTTCCTTCCTGCAAGATGAGGATGTATCTCTGAGCTCTTATGCTGTAGATAAGACAGTGGAAGGAGGTATCAAAGACATTATTAAAATGAGTTTTATAAAAATAGAAAGATATACTCCAACAAAATTGAAGTGTGTCCTACATAGGAAATTCAAAGTCACACCAAGGGAGATCAGATGGGACCTACAGCAGGGCTACTCACGAGATATATAAATACTAATGATGGCCTCAGGAAAGTTGTTAGAAGCAGGAAGCCTGCTGGAGCAGGTAAAAATGGGGACAACATATGATCGTGGTGTAGAAGAGGCACATAAGAAAACCAGCCAGGAATGTTGGCTAAATCATAGAATCACAGAAGGGTTTGGGTTGGAAGGGACCTTAAAGATCATCTCATTCAATCCCCCTGCCACGGGCAGGGACACCTTCCACCAGCCCAGGTTGCTCCAAGCCCCGTCCAACCTGGCCTTGGACACTTCCAGGGATCCAGGGACAGCCACAGCTTCTCTGGACAACCTGTGCCAGGGCCTCACCACCCTCACAGGGAGGAATTTAAATAATGAAGGTACTGTAGAAAAGGTCAGAGGTGTTCCCCATTTTTTTTGTTTTCTTTCAGTATTTTGGCTTTCTTCTGTGCTCATTTAAGCTCTTGCCCATCTCTGCTTATCAAATCCTTCGCCTGCCAGAGGTTACCATTCCCATCAGTTGGCAAATGGAGCATTTTGTTTCCATGTCTCCTAATTAACTCCAGGAAAACAGCCAGGTTAATTTACCTAAACTGCCAATTAGGCTGTTTAACCCATCTGCTTTTGCCTGGAGCAGATTAAGAAGCACTCAGACACTGCCAGGTGACTGGACACGGACCTCTGGGAGAAGCGGTGGGAAGAAGTGGAGACAGCAATGCCTTCACTTGGCACAGCTGAACATTCCAGAGTGAATGTGTGTCTGACAAACAGTTTCCTGCTGAGAGTCAATAGGAAGAGCTTTTAGGCAAACTGATAAATTGAACAGTGACAAGTCACTAAGGCCACGTGGTCTTTGTTCGGATGTTCTTCAGAAGCTGTGAAATGGCTGAGCCTCCAATGATGATCTGTAATCCCGTGCTCAAATCTGCTCCATGAGCAGAGGAATGAGCACTGACAGATTGGACTCAGGCTTTTAAAAAGGGGTGGGTGTGTGTTTGTTTGAGCCACAGAGCTGCAGAAAAGGTAATTCTAATTTGATGGAAAATCTGATAGGGAGTAGAGGTGTCAGATACCAGGATGAGATGGATACCTATGATGTGCTGAATCAAAGGTTTTGGAAGGATTTAGGAAGCCATTTCTCAGGCCAACTTGCTCCACTGCAGAGACTTAAGAGAGTTGTAAATCTATTAAGAGTTCTTTGGAGAAGTCAACAGGCATGTGGAGCAAGATTATCCAGCTTTTAGCTTTCTGAAAATCTTTCAGACAGGACCTAAACCAAAACTACCTGGAGAATTCAAGCTGATGTGAGGGAACACGGAGGGGCTGCTCTTGAGCTTGTAACTCCTAACAGCACAGGGAATAGTTTTCACTGTGCAGAGCTGTTCCTGGTGGATTCCCCACAGTCCTTTGTTGAAACCTGTTCTGTTCAGCACAGTCAGCAGTGATTTGGAAAAAGGAGGTGACAAGTGAGGCGACAGAAGCAGCAACTGGTACAGAATTATTCAGCACAGTCAAATGTGAAAGTCACAGCAAAAGACTGCACTAGAACTAAACCCAGGGTAATCCCAAGGGGGATTAAATGAGTGTACACAGGGGAGTGTGCCTGTAAATACACGTGCAGAATGAGGAGTGTCAAATTAATAATTGTGTTGCAGAGGGAACATTTAAAGTCACTGTGGATGTGCTTTTGATAAGGTTAAGTCAGTGCTCGGCAGCAGTGAGGCCAATTAAATGTTAATTATGGTAAAGGAAGGAGCTGAGGACAAGGCAGTGTCGTGGGTTTGTGTGAGTCTGATGCAGCCACGTCTTGAACACTTAAAGAAAAGACACTGAAAAACAGGGACAAAATTGGCAGAGAAAAGAGTGACAAGGAGACAATTACATCCAAATAGAGACTGACTCTTCAGCTTAAAAAAAAAGAAGTGGCAAAGGGTGTGTTTGCTGGTGCTCTGTGGAACTAGAATTGTTGAGAGAAAGTGAATAGGGACAATATTTTTCATAATCCACACATTAATAGCAGCACAGAAGTGGACAGCTAGCAAGTTTGGAAAAAAGCAAAAGGCAGTAAATGCTCAGCCAGTGCACAGGTAAATTGTGGAAGTCATTGCTACAGGCCAAAATACAAGTGGGTTCCAAGAAGCGATTAGGTAAAATTGCACCTTCAAATTAGACTTAATTGGTCCAGCCAAACCTCCTGCTCAGATCACAGAACAGCTGATTGCTGGAAAGTTCTGCCAGGGAGAGCGTGACTTTATAATCCCTGTTCCTTACCCTTTCTGCCCAAGCAGCTCCAACTGTCAGTTGTCAGAGATAATATATGTCAGAAATAATTTGATTTTGCTCAATACGTAAGTCCTCAGGTTCCATTGCACATTATGCTGTGCACCCATTTTGTGGGAATTTATTGAGAGAAGTCAGGGTGAAGAGATTTGGTAATTTGCACTGAAGAGCCTGAAAAATTGCATAGTTTTGTCATGTGAGAAGTCCTGTGAATCTTTCCGTGCAAAGCGAAGCTCAGTGATCCCTTTCTCTCAGAATATGTTTTGTTTTCTACAGGAAAACCTACCCAAGGTATAGGATTTTTTTTTTTCCCTGGTGTTTAGCTACTGAAAGAGGATGAGGCTGGCAAAGCCAGAGTGTGGCAGGAAGCTGGGGAGAGCAGAAGGAAGGGAAGGACAGACGCCTGGCAGATGACGCAGAGGAATCTGGTGGCAAAGCCTTGCCATGAGAGAACAGACCTCAGAACTCTCAGTGGAGCAGAATGTACCTTCCCTGCCCCAGTTTGCTGTTGCCAGCAATGGCAAAGGATCTTCTGCAGAGAATTCCATGTCCTTCCCCTTTCTCTCAGGGTTTCAGTTCGTTTCCAGACCTGCTGGTGCTGCTCTCCATGTACAGAGACAATCTGCTGTTGCTGTCACTGCCTCCAGGAGCAAAGATCTGGGGGATGGATCCCAACATTCCAGTGTTGCAGATGAGCCATTCCAGTTTTAATGTAACAAAATACCGTAGAATTTATTGCTTCAGTGTGTTTTAAAAGAAAATTTTGGGAAATTAACTTAAAAGTTGCTTTAAATAACACTCTGGCTATTGCTATCAGCAAGTCCTCAGCTGTATGTTTACATCCTTTTTTTTTTTTTATGCAATTCGTGCCTCACTTGAAGCCTTTTTGCTGGAAGTTGAAGGCACAGAGTGAGCAAGCAGGTGATTACAGCCAGTCTCAGTGTTACAGCAGCTGAATGCTGCCCTGGGGAGTTGTATTTTACCCCTGGCAGAACTGTAAAATTCGTTATTTCAATTCCGAGATTACAGACATTGCAAAAGTGTGTTTTCATTTCAAAGCACAATGAAACCAATTGGAAACACTGAAATTTTCCATGAGGCAGAAATGCTGGATTTTGTCCAGCTCTTGTTGTGACTTCATTCTCATGAAGCCTTCGGATGTTTTGGGATGAGCAATCTAGAACTGTCTCTGAGAAGATTATTGATTCCTCATTTGGAGCTAGATGTGAGCAACATTTCATTAGTCCAGGATGAACAGTGGGGAAAGACAAAAATATTTATTAGCTGCTGAATATGTGAGCATTGGGCATCCAGAAAACTAAAAACAGGATGTGTAGTCATGTTACAATCATAGCATATGTTTGAAGAAGTAGAAATCAAATTGCACAGAAAATTCCAGCTGTGGAATTCCCAGCATTTGCACCTCCGACCTGAAGAATAATTTCACTTGGTCCCGTGTGAGCAGTATAGCAGTGGGTTTGTTCAAAGGCTGGGAAGTTCTGCTGGAAGAACTTGAGAAATAAGAATCAGTTGGGTGAACTTGTATTAACTAATGCCAGGTTGAAGTTTAATTTCAGCTGGTTGTCTCATTCTGCTGAAGGGATTCTTTGCTGCTGGGAGTGTTCTTGAAGAGTTTTGATTTGAGGCTTGCCCAGCCTCAGAGGTGAGTTCCCAGGGAATTCAGGCACAGGTTGCCCAGAGAAGCTGTGGCTGCCCCGTCCCTGGAAGTGTCCAAGGACATGTTGGATGGGGTTAGGAGCAACCTGGGATTGGAAGGTTTCCCTGCCCGTGGCCAGGGGTGGAACGAGATGATCTTTCAAGTCCCTTCCAACCCAAACCAGTCTGGGATCCTTCAGGAGATGGGGCTGGGTGTCAGGATCAGTTGGTTCCTGTGTTTTCTTCCAAATGCTCTCTGGGAGGGGTAGCCCTGCTCTGGGGAGATCACTGGGGTTTGAGTGAGGAAGGGTTTCCAGTGGGAGAGGGGAACAAGGTGGTTCTGCAGGCTGACAGAATTCAGAATTAGTGGCTGTTTATTTTTCATGGTTTAATGGTTTGTCCAAATTACAGCATGCTTTCCTCTGATTTAGGAGTAGATATCTGTGCAAAATGTAAGGTTTCCTAAAAGCATGGAGGTACTAATGTTGTTTAAACAAGTACTGGGAGAATTCTTAAACAGACAGATTTTTTTTCATGGGATTTGCAGTTGTATATCTGGCAAAAACCCAAATTACATCACGAGGGAGATACCTGCACAAGAGATAGAGCCTTGCAGTGAGGAAGATCAGATAATTTGGTGCCTGATCTGAAAATAAATGGAAAGCACAACTAATAAATTCACAGATTATGCTACTTTTGGTGGAATGATGCATAGAAATCGTGTTTGCCAGAGCGATGTTGCCTGTTGGGTGAGTGGGGCTTGTTCAGATAAAATGCATTTTAATACAGCCAGAGGGGAATTGTTTGTCTGAGAATAATGAGGCTGCAGCTGGCACAGAGGCCACGGCTTCCTGCACATTGTGACATGGGCCAGGCACTGCAAGGAGCAATCCTGCCTGTTGCACCCCTCATTCCTGCTGCTGTGCTGGCAAAAGTGCTTGAGTAGCCAAATAGTGCCAGGAATTAAGGAATCAGGCCCTAAAAGGACATTTTTTTTTGCTTGTGTTGGCTCCCTGCTCTGCAGCTGCACAGCTTGAGAGGGGACAGGAGGCTGTGGGGAGGGCACAGCTCGTGTGAGCAGCTCTGGCTCAGAGTGATCCAGGGTCCAGCACCTGGTGTTAAATGTCCAGTGGGATCCAGGGGGGGTTGGGGATTCAGGTTAAAAATACTTGGCCTTGCCCATCCTCTGTGTGGAGGTCACTGTCCTCTTAGAGGAGCTGGAGTAAATGCCTGTGTAATCACTGCCAGCACAGTTCTGTGCCCAGCAAGGTGGCTTAGCTTGTGCTGGAGATGCCTCTGTTAGATAATTCTGATTGAAACTGGGCAGACAGTGGCTGGACACGTGGTTGTACCAGTGTATCTGAACTGATACAGCCCTGAGCTGGGGGGATAGGGGGGTGATAACCAGAGGCTGCATCTGATGCAGCCAGATAACGTGTCTGATCATCCCCTTGCATCCCCTGGGAAGAAATTACCTGGGAAAGGAGGTAGGGAGGCAGGAACCTCAGCTGAGATGCCCTGGGCATCACAATGGGGTTCCAGTGGGAATTGGAGCACAGTTCTGATCCGTGCAAACCAGGCAGCTAGGAATTTGAATGTCCCCCTGTGACACTAGTGAGAGGGTCTGTACTTCAGTAACAATGCTCAAAATTCAGGAATAGTGGCAGAAAGTCATAAAATTAATCAACTCTGGCAGAAAAGTACTGCAGTTAAAAGACATGAACTGCGCAGACTGTTTAGAATCACAGACAGGAATCAAAAGGGGTTGATTAGTCGTGTCAGGGCTTTCAAAAGGAGGAATTGGCTTTTTAGTAAAGAGGAGAAAAAAACCTAGAAGAGCCAGTGCCTGGGAGCAGAAACCAGTTGTATTTTAATTTGAAAGGAAGCACAGAGGTTTGAAGCAGCAGTTACAAGTTAGTGGAACACACTTTTAGAAGAAAGGGGAGATCCTCAACCTTTTGGTGTCTTCAAACCAAAGCCAGGGGCCTTTCTGGAGGAGCTCTGTAACCAGCTGCAGCCACAGGGCTGGATTCCTGTGGCACGTGGTTGCTTTGCTCCAAAGGTCAGATCGGCTTTTTTAATGTCCCTGACTGATGGGAGATCAGTTCTTCAGGAAAGACCCATGGAATAGAGAGGGATGGGAAGAGGCAAAGATGCAGCACTGCTTAACCTTGCTTTTTTTGTTCTGTGTTTGTTTTTTTTTATGTAGGGGAGTTCCAAATCCCTGCAAGCTCCAGTGTGGGGCCACTTCTCCACAGTGCAAAGGTATTGTTTCATTGTTCACACCCTCTGTCTGCACCCTCCCTGCAGGAAAAAGTCCCAGGGCCACCCCAAGCACAGCCTGAGCAATACACTCACAGACATGACTGTTTTCTGGAAAAAGAAAGGGAGATGTGATATGCTGCCCTCTGCTTCAGCCAGAGCAAAGTTCCAGGAACTGCACACTGACATCCCCATCCTTTCAAGTGTCTGTGTAAAAGGGCTGCTGGTGGTGAACCACAGAAGGAAAATGGAGAAAACCACCAAAACAAACAAACAAACAAAAAAAAAAACTACCCCCCAAAAAAACCAAAAACCGAATCCAGCAGCACCAGTCTGTGCTTGTGTATTTGCATTATGCAATCTTTCACTGGGTGTTCCTGTGCTGTTCCTATTTTGGTTTTTACCAGACAACCCAGGACTGGAGAAGGTGGTGTCATTCCAAACACTGCAAATCAGGGCTGGCTCTTGTCTGTTGTAGAGGGGCTTGAAGAGTGTGCATCATCTTGAGATCACAAGGCCATAGATTATATTATTGTTCTTGTGATTAAACCTGCTAATTCCTTGCAATTCACAGTCTTAGATGCAGATAATTCCCTATTTTAATCAGTCAGCTGAACAATTGCTCAAGGACACTGGGAGCAGAGCGGAGGTAAATTTAGCATTTAGCAGAGTAAAAAGGCACCAAAAAGGCTTTTCCTTGATCTGCTGAGGGGGTGAGTGTGGATGTGCCCATGCCGGGAGGTGCCAGTGGTGCTGCAGGAAGGGCCTGGAGCAGGTCGTGGAGCAGGGAGGGGAGCCCCGAGTGCTGGCTGAGCAGTGGGTTGTGGTGCTGAGGGGCAGTTCCCTGTGCAGTGAGCGCTGCTGCCACTCGATGGCACTCGGGGCGTGCGAGCTGCGGGCCCGGCTGAGCCTCCTCCCACCTCCCGGGGCCGTGCTGGAGGGAAACACGCTGTTCATTGTCTCTGCCGGGCAGGGTTTCATCCCTTTGCAGTGTTCAGGAGGGCTGGGCTCGGCTGGAATTGGGGAAAGCACGGATAGATATGTGAGCGAGTGTTGGCGGGGACTGTGCTGTGGGAGAGGGAACAAGGGGTAAGGGTAATTTTGGAGGGGGAAGTTATCACAGAATCACAGAATAAATGTCCTGACTTGGAAGGGATACACAAGGATCATGGAGTCCAAAACCTGGCCCTGCACAGACACCCCAGCAATCCCACCCTGTCCCTGAGGGCGTTGTCCAAACCCTCCTGGAGCTCTGGCAGCCTTGGGGCTGTGCCCACTGCCCTGGAGAGCCTGGGCAGTGCCAACCACCCTCTGGGGGAAGAACCTTTTCATGAGATTCAACCTGAGCCTGCCCTGACACAGCTCCAGCCGTTCCCTCAGTCCTGTCACTGCTCACAGAGCAGAGATGGAGCTGCCTCTCATGAGGAAGCTGCAGATTGCAATGAGTAGTATCAGGTATTTGCTGAATTCTGAAAGACCTGATGATGTCCATGAGGCTGCACCAAGCTCCCTGGCCAGAAGGGAGGTGAGCAGTGTCCATACAGCTTCCCTAGGTAGATGGCTCTGTAGGACAGGGAGATGTCTTTTGTAGACACATGACACCAGATGACATCACCCCCCTGGTAACTGTAATACAACACAAACGGCTCTCACTGCCCTGTTTCCAAGCAAGAATCTCCTGTAGAGTTGATATGATTTTGCTGCCTTAACAACTCTCTTCTTTGACTCCTCAGGGTGACCCAGCTCAGCGAGGGCATTTAGAGGAAGCCGCTTTCCAATTGCAGCAGATTTTCCGGATTGATATTTCCATTGCCTTGAATATCCTCGGTAATGTGGACTTGGGTTTGTTTTGCCCTTAAACCACAGGTTTAAGGAGGACCTCCATTTTGGAGGACCTCCAAAGCGTTGCAGGTCTTGTGTGAAGGCAGAGATGGCGTATACCCAAGCTGAAGCCTCCTTTCAGCAATTTTAACTGTGCTCCGAGAGATTTACTGCCCCATGTCCCATCCTGCCACCAGATTTATATCAGCATATTTCAATCCAGGCTTGGTTGAAGCCTGCACTCTTGTCCTGACATCTGTAGTGGGAAATTAAGCCATCTCTGTCTTTTTTGCAACACAAGATGTCACATCCTTGTATCCTTTTTTATCGTGTGAGCTCATGGTCTTTCTGGCAAGCTGAAAAAGCAGTTGCAGAATTGCAACTCTAAGAAAGGCTGAGTGGAGATGCAGTGATCTAAGGAAAGTCCCTGTCCCTATATATACACCACTAGTTGCAGCCCTGAAGAGCACTGTGAGCCATACACCGTGTTAGCCCGTGATCCCTCTTAGGAACGAGGCTGGAAAAATCCCTAAAATGCAGTGTTGCTGTTTTTTCTTGTGGAAACTGTGGAGTGAGGGTTCTTAAGCCAGCTGGAAGTGGCCCAGAGCCCTTGGCATGAGCCAGGGAAGGCTCAGTGGCTGAGGGGGAGGTTGCTGCCTTGGGGGCTGAGTTGTGGCCGTTGCGTTTGCCCTGTTGTGACGTTGTGTTCTCCTCAGGGATCGAGAGCATGAGGGCAGGGCACTGCAGGACAGGCTTCACCTGCTTCAAACTGGCTGCTGATCGAGGCTACAGCAAAGCCCAGTTCAACGTGGGCCTGTGCTATGAGCATGGCAGAGGCACGGAGAAAGACCTGGAAAAGGTATCCACAGCTTGTAGGGTTGTGTGTGTGCAGCACAGACCAGGAGAGTGGTCTCTGTTGGGTGCTCAGGAGCTTTTTCCTTTGTATGGGTGTGACAGTCATGGAATATCCTGAGCTGGAAGGAACCCACAAGGATCAAGTCCAAACCCTAGCCCTGCACAGACACCCCAACAATCCCACCCTGTCCCTGAGAGCGTTGTCCAAATGCTCCTTGAGCTCTCTCAGCCCTGGGGCCATGACCACTGCTCTGGGGAACCTGTTCCAGTGCCCAGGCTCTGAAGACTTAGTAGAAACTGCTGGAAATAATATAAATTGCAGGTTTGCAGAGCTGGCTTCAGTGCCATCGATCCCCTCAGGGATGTGCTCCGAGATCCCCTTTCCCACAGCTTCTGAGGGCTTCTCCAGGTGCACGGGCTGTGCCACCAGCACCCAGGAGGGCACCAAGGAGAAACCTGTCATGTTACTGTATTTAAGACACCATTGCACATCCAAGGGCTTCCTAAATCTCCAGTTTGGGAACGGTAACTACAGCCTGCCACCTAGTGCAGGCTGGCTGCAGCCAGCAGCTGCTGGAGCTGGGAAGAGCTGCAAAAGCAGCTTCTTTTGAGTAATTGTTGGCCCAGTGCCACCCCCTTCAAGTTGGAGAGGTTTGAGTAGAGCAGGCAGAGTGGTTCCAGGGTTCTGGGGCAGTCACTGTCTGGTTTAACCAAGCTGCTGTTCCTCAGCAGGCAGGGGTGGGAGAGCTGTGGGGGGAACCATGTGCAGCTTATGATGGATCTAAACAGGGGTTAAGCTTGACCTGCCCAGAGAGGGGTCACATCATGTTCCAGGGCATGTATTACCTGCCTCACACAGGTGGGTTTCTCTCTTTGCAGGCAGCTCTTTATTACTGCCACGCTGCCAGCAGCTGCCACCCCATGGCCCAGTACCGCTACGGGAGGTACCTCCTGCAGCACAGCCCTGGCCAGCACTGGGACAAGCTCCAGAGGGCCCTGACGTTCCTGGAGCGAGCAGCAACGGCTGGGATCACAGAGGTCAGTGTCTGCAGCCTGGGGGGTCACAGGAGAGAGCCAGCAGAGAACCCTGACTGAAGGGCTTGAGCCACAGGACATCCTAGAAAGTATCATTTGTCAGACTAGAAGCAAAATTCTTCCAACGTGCTTATCCCTGCTCACAGCAGGGGGGCTGGAACTAGGTGATCTTTAAGGTCCCATCTAACCCAAACCATTCTGTGATTCTCTGATTATATATTTATATTCCTGACAGTGTCTGGGAGCCAGCCCTGCCTGCACATGGGAGCTGGGAACCAGCTGTATCAGCACACTGAGTGTCTGGTTTTAATGTGGCTCTTAACTCAGAGCCCTGGCTTAAGAGAACTGACCTACAGTTGAAAACACAGCTCAGTGTTCCATCTCCTCTCAATTCCAAGTGTTGCTTTGCTGGAGGAACTTCCACGAAATGCTTGAAGTGAGAACAGATCCTCATTTTGTAGCTGTGACTTTGGCAATGACTCATCCCTGTGGATCTGTGTACCCTGCCCTCCTTTCCCTCTCTCCAGGAGATGCATTTAGGCCCATGTGCCACCTTCTGCTGTGAGTGCCAGTTGTGCTGGCAGTGCCTGTGCCTCCTGTGCCACCCTGTTCCAGGAAGTGCATCTGCTGGATCTCATGGGCAGCTCACGAGTCAGAGCCATTCCCTGGCTCTGCCTCCCACAGTGCAGTTTGAAAGGATATTCTGGCTTTTAAGGTGTTGGGATGGTGATGAGAACTGCGTGTGAGGTGGAGTTGATAGATAAATGGGATTTCTTTGTGTGTTTACCATGTCAGGCTGATTTTTCCTAGGACAGCCCCCCTTCTCCCAACAGGCTCTGCAGCAAGCAGGATCCTTGGGACACTTGTCTTGCCACAGCATTTGAGCAACTTGCAAAATCAGCAACAGAACTGGAGTAATTAAGGGAAAAAAAGCTGGCTGATCTGTACCCTGTGTGGTTTTGTTGCAGGCACAGGCTTATCTTGGAGTGTTCTACATGAGGGGGCTGCAGCCCCAAGAAAAGAGGGGTCTGAAGTACCTGCTGCTGGCAGCAAACAGTGGTGTAAGTAATCCTTCTGTAAACTCTGATTGTCCTCAGTTTGAGATTGTTTCAGGTTACAGGTGGCAGATTCCAGGGCTTCTTGGAAATGGGAGAGAGTGTCAGGATTTTACTGCACAGTGTGAAAGGACAGAGGGGAGTCTTGGTGCATCTTGGAGAGGAAACAGGCCCCAGGCACAGACCCTACAAAACATGAAGGTAAAGACAGCCCTGTTGGAGTTCTTAAAGCACCAGTGCTTGCATCCATCCAGCAGAATGGGACACAATTCCCATTATGGAGCATCTGCACCCTCTTCAGTCAAAATGTTTCACTACTTCATCATTTTTAGAACTTCATTGTGTCTGTCTCAAATCTGTTCTTCAAAATTGGCCCATTGTTTCTTGCCTTCTGCAGAGAGGATGAAAGGACTATTTCTGGATTCATTTTTTTCTTCAGGGACCTTTAACATACTTAAATACTTGAATCTACTCTCACCCTTCCCCCATTGTTGCAGTTTCTCCTCACAGGTCACGTTGTCTAAATCTCCAACAATTATCTTGCTTCCACTTTCTCCAAGTGACCCGGGCTTGTTTTCTTTGAAGGGCAGTGCCACAGTGTGGGCACAATACTGCTCCTGAACCCTCAGCAGCACTCAGAGGAGCACAAGTGTGCTATCCCACATCTTGCAGCCAGGTTTCTGCATCCCACAGTTCTGTTTCCTTACAGCACTGCCACACTGTCCCCTTGTTTTCGGCTGCATTGTGAGAGCAAGTTTTTTTCTGAAGAACTTGCTCGTTTTAACTTCACTTCCCACAGCTTTTGTGCAATGAAAAATAATGAATAGCCATTCCCTGTTCTGCTGGCTAATAGTTCTGGTTGTGGTGCCCTTTAGTGTGTCCTCTCTGAGTCATTTCTTTTGCAGGCTGCACAGCTCTGGTTTAGTTTGTCTCCCCGTGCAGTTATGCTATTTTACTTTCCTTGTCAGCCTTCTCTCTATTTTTCTAATTCTCCTTTGACCATTTTAAGATGCTTGGAGTAAAATTGGATTCAGGATGGAGGTATGCCATGGATCTCACATAATGAGATCCTCTGCTTTGTTCCGTATTCCCTTCTAATAATTCCTAATACTGTTTGCCCTTTTGCCTGACACTGAGCAGTGATTAGATGGTCTCAGGGAACTATCACAGTGTGATATCACAGATTTCTTTCTATAAGCACTACTTTGCATTTGGCAATACTGTTTCTTTTGTGACTCTGTTGCCCACTCTTAGTCTTGTGAGATCTTCTCTAGTTAATTCTGTATAGTAAGTTTGACCACTCTGAACAACATTACATCACTTGCAAACTTTGCCACTTGGGTTTTCACCCTCTTTTCAGAGTGCAGACACTGTCAGATCACTGGTGGGACTAGGCCTGACCAGCCACAGCAGCTCAGACATCCTGGTACACAGTATTTAGTTCTAAATCTGCTAAAGATCTCTCAGAAACTGCATCACTGGCTCCTTTCTTCCAGCCTGGAGTCAGATGTGTGTGCTGCACAATATCACACTGAATTATTAAACAGATGATTCTCATTTACTGGTAAGCCTTAGCAACACAAAATCTGTCAGGTACCCCCCAGGAGATCAGTGTTTGGCATGTTTTGGTCACAGCCATGGCAGTTCTCAGACCCCATCCACCCTTCCCCCTCTCTGGTTCCCCATGGATGCTGGCTGTGGCTGTACCAGAGCCTCAGCTTTCAGGGCCTGGGCTCCCTGGGGTGGAACCCCACATGTTCTCCTGCGAGAAGGGTCCATGGGTGTGTTCCTTTCCCACTACCCTGGAGTATGAATTGGTGTTTAGGTGGTTAAAAGGATGCTGGGTACAGATGAAACAAGGACAGCCCCGTTTAGTACAACTCCAAAGAAAGGCACAGGAAGTCCTGGATTCAGTATTTCCCTGGTTGTTCCTGGGTGCTGGAGCCGAGCAGGGAACTCTGACAAGTGTCCTTCCAAACACTGCTCTGCAGAGAGGTCTTTTCTACTTTGGTTCCCACTTTTTGGTTCCCACTTTTTATCCTCCCTTATTTCATATGTGCAGCAATAGAATATCAAACCCGTGTTAAAGAGTGCTGTGGAGAACTGAGCCTGACCTCCACGTTTCCAAGGATATCTCAGTCACTTCTGCTGTGCTAATTTGGGGATCTCCTCTCCTTGCAGCCTCGTGTCTGAGGTGCTCATCCTGGGAGAGATGGTTGGTGCAGCACTTCTGATTGAACCCTGTCTCTTGTCACAGCTGAAGTGCCAATCCTTCAACAAGTTTATCTCATCTCTAAAGGAGTTTATTGCTGTCATAAACTGAGACTTGCAACATTTTGCAAAGCACCCACTCACTGAGTTCTTCACTTGCCTCTACCAGCTACGTCCCAGACAGCAACACTTGCAATATGTTCTTTTCTCGTGGCTTTATTAAAAAACTTGCTACTTGATTTTTTTCCCTTCATTTCTTATCCTTTCCTTTTCTTTCTTTTTCTTTTTTTTTGCAAAGCCTTGTTTAGATCATGTTTCTGGCAGTCATACTCTTCAGGCTGTGCAGCTGGAAAGGTCTGTGTGACCACTAGCCCATGCAGTCTTTTTAATGTCATCATCTTTTTAATGTCTTGATTTCCTGCCACCTGAGACCCTTTTCTTCCCGTTGGATCTCAAAGATAAAGTGCACAGTCAACACATAAACATGGCACAGGTTTGGATTTGGCTTCGCTGACCCATCTGCAGTGACATCCTTTACTTTCTAGTTCGTTCTCAGCACTTACCCATGTCTGAGTGGTTCAGGTGCTTTCTCTCTCAGTGTTTACTTGCTTGATTTCATTTCTGCTGCTCGAGATTTCTTCTGCAGTAGCATCAGGTGGGGCTGAGCAGGACGGTGCAGCACTGGTGTGTTAAAGGCTGCCAGGGGGAATCTTCCAACCCTTGGCAGCAAGTACCTCTGTGGCATTTGTTAGTTTTTACAAGACTTCAGTGTGAACTGTTGCAGGGCAGTCCTGGGGCGTGCTCGGAGTCTGGGTGGGATCAGGATGTGGGTGCAGCCAGGGCTGCCCAGATCCTCTCAGCTCTGACCCCTGAGACAATCAGGATGCTCTGCAGACCCAGCTGTTCCTTTGTTCCCCTGACACAGACCTGGGTGTTGAAGGGAAATTGGTGAAATTAATTGGAAAGGGATAGGAAGGAGCAGAGCCAGAGATAGCTGGGGGAAATTCTGCTTTGCTGTGTGCTCAGAGGAGGGACTGAAATACTAAATTACTGAGGGATAGAGGGGTAAACTTAAGAAGGTGACCAAAGATAGAGCAGTAAACTTTAAAGAAGATGTTAAAGACTCTGTTCTCCTTTCCTGTGCTGTTGTCACTTCTCCCTGTGCTCTCTCCTGTGCCAGGATGCCCAAAGCAGGTACCACGTGGGTGTTTGCTACGAGCAGGGCCTTGGGGTGCAGCAGAACCTGGCAGAGGCACTGAGACACTACAGGGAGGCAGCTGCTGCTGGGAACAGGCACGCCCAGGAGAGACTGAAGCTGTGGGAAGAGGAGCTGGAAGGTACCATGGGGTGGTGGAGGGTGTGGGTCTCCAGGGGGACTGACCCCATAATAGTGGGGCCTGTGTTGCCAGAGGAAGGGTCACATAGGGCCGTGGCACTAAGGAGCTCTTTTGACTGAAAGGAAGGGACTGCTTTTCCTTTTCAGTTATTTCCACTTCTGACCAGCTCTTTCCAATCCAGCTGAAGTGGAGAAGCCATTCCCATAATCTGATGTGTCACAGAATCATTTAGGGTGGAAAAGACCTCTGAGATCATTGAGTCCAACCTTTCACAGGTTGGATGGGGCCCTGAGCAACCTGGTGTAGTGGAAGGTGTCCCTGCCCATGGCAGTGGGGTTGGAATGAGATGATCCCCAAGAACCCTTCCAACCCAACCCATTCTGTGATTAATATCTTGTTTTTCTGTCCTTTCAGATGTGCGGGCAAAGCATCCATTCCCTTCAGGAATACGAGCCTCTTCCTCGAGCCCCAGTTTCTGGGCTCTGGAGCCTGTGTCTGCAGGTCTCCACAACACCCTGCCCCACTCTTGGAGCACAGACAGACTCCATGTGATGCTGCTGAGCAGTGCAGGATGGAGCCGTGCCTTCGGACACAGGACAGTGCCACTGGAAAGGCAGTTCTGGGAGCCCCACGGCTGCTGTTCCTAGAGCAGGCAGTAAGTGACACCAGCACAGGAGAAGGCAACCCTTAGTCTGTGTAGGGCTGGAAACCCTTAGTCTGTGTGGGGCTGGCAACCCTTAGTCTGTGTGGGGCTGGAAGCAGACTGGCAGGGATTGGAAAGGGAAAGCTTCTTGTTCATGAACAGGAGCCATTTTTAAGTCCCAGGGGTTTGAGAATAAACTGTGTGATATCCCTACACCACCATATCATCTGGTCCTCTTACCTTCCAATACAAGGATGTTGCTTTATGCACTTAGATTTCTGGATAGAGCAATGTACAGACTCATGGCACAGGTTGCCCAGAGGAGCTGTGGCTGCCCCTGGATCCCTGGAAGTGTCCAAGGTCAGGTTGGACAGGGCTTGGAGCAACCTGGGCTGGTGGAAGGTGTCCCTGCCCATGGCAGGGGGTGGAATGAGATGAGCTTTAAGATCTCCTCCAGCCCAAACCGTTCTCTGCCAGCGACCATTCACTGTGATGTGATTTGGGGTTCTCATTCCAGTAGCCCTGCATGTCCTGCACAGTCCCCCAGTGAGGTTTACAAGCCACCATATGGTGATGTTGGCAACTAACCCTGTGATGGGTCTGGCCCACACTCTCTGAGGCAATTTGCAGTCTCTTGAAGGCAAGTTCCCCCAGTGGCTCTGCTACCAGCACAGTCTGGGCTCAGCTCTACGCTGCCATTTTAATCTGCTTCCAAACCTGTGCAAGCAAGAGAGTGAATTCTCATTATTAGGACACAGGTTTTTTGGGATCTGACCTGTACCAGTGAGAGTGACAGCTGCCCTCAGCCATCCTGCACCGTGGCCTTCAGTCCCCAGTTGTCATTCCTTCAGCCCTGGCAGTGAGCTGCTCCCATGGGTACCACCCTCTGAGTCACAGTGAGCAAGGTTTGCTTCAAAATTTATATTGGACATGTTTGCTGAGCACGCCAGCTCATTTCCAGTCCGTGGATAAGGGATGCTCCCAGCGGGAAGGCACCACTGGCAGGCAGCAGCAGGCAGCTGCTGGGATAATTCCTTCCACTGGGGCAGCTGGATCCGGAAAAAGGCATTTGTCCACACCAGTTTAAACTGGTTCAAGGGCATCTGTGCAAACTGCCCAGCTTCCTGTGGCCATGGTGCTCTGGTGCTTTGTATGGATGAGGCTCTGGAAAACAAAGGCAATGGCCCCATCCTGAACTTGCTGTGGTCTCCATTCAGCGAGGGAGGGGCACAGCCAGCCCTCAACACATCTGATTGTTCTTCTAGTCTGGTCTCTCTTTCTGCTCAGACCAAGCTTTCTTAGGCCATTTCCTTTATCAAGCAGGATACAATTAGCAGGAAGTTCCTGGGGTGGATTTCCTATGCTGTGATAACCCACAGCGTGCTTACGCACTGGGCAGCTCGGGACAGGGGCTGGGGGGTTGAAAGCAGGATCAGGAAATTGAACCAAGAGAGAGGAATTTGTCTCCTTTTTAATCTGCTTATTATAAGGTTTTTTGGTGTAAAGGTTGTCCTTTAACAGGCACATCAAAGCAACTGTGCAGAGGAAGGTGTGAGGTTTGTCCTCTGCGTGTGCTCCCGAGATGCTCCCACGGGGCTGCATCTCCTCAGTCCCAGAATGCTTCCCTCGTGGTTTGCACAGCTGCAACTCAGTTGGAATTTGGCTCCCTGTCGTTGTTTTGGTGCAGGAACCTGTTTTGTTTGTAAAACAAACCAGCAAGAGATTTCTGTTAGCAAACCCAGGACGAACCCATCCGTGCATAGACGCCAGAGATGGGCTCATCTGTGCAAGCATTTTGGAGGTTCCAAACACAACAGTGGATATTTTGGGCATTAAACAGTCCACCTGGGGAAATCTTACTCTGTTGCTCTTGTCATTTGGTTCCAAGAGCAAGAGAAAGGGATAACTTTCTCATTTACTCTGCTTTAAATGATCTGTATGATTGTCTGGTGCTGGGAACTGTCACCTCCAGGTGCAGGGAAAAGAACACAGGTTGGACACTGTTGACATGGTCCAGGATTGTGTTGCCTGTTCTTTTTCAACTTAACAGCAAAATGCAAGCCAAAAATATCACCCAAAGACCCCTGATGTGACAGCAAATGAGCAAATCTGCTTTGGCCCTGAACACGTTGTGAGCTGGGGTGTCTGTGGTGAAGTCAGTGCAGTGTTTTTGCTGTGAAGATGTGAAGGGACGCAGGCAAAGGGGTAAGAGCAGTGCCCTGTGTCACCAGTGACACTGCAGTGCTGGCAGGGAGGTGATGCTCACCCTCATTCCCATCTTTGACCCCCCTCCCACCTATACAGCCCCTTCTCCAGCATGCCCCAAATCCTTCCTGGTGTTTTATACCATAGCTGGAAGGCCCAAACTCTGGTACAGAGAAGAGTCCCCTTTGTGTGCAGGATCCAAAATCCCTTCCCTGCCATCCGCACACTGCTGGGGAGCCTGTGGATGCACTGCAGCTGCCTTCCCATTCTCTGTGAGTGCAGATCCACCCTGGGGAAGCACAAACACCTGTGTGCTTCCTCCTTTGTTACCAATATCTTAGTTTTCCCACCCATGCAATTATCCCAAAACTGTCTTACAGCTCACACACAGACAGATCAAAGTGAAAACCCGTAATAAGGGTGAAACTGGAGACTGAATATTTCAAAACAGTGTTTTCACGCTTCCCTTTTCCCAGGTTACCTTTGGCAGACTCCAGCCATCTGTTGTCTGCTTCTGGATAAGGACTATGCTCCAAAATCCAATGGCCTCCAAAGAGAATCGAATAGAACAGAATCATTAGGGTTGGAAAAGACCTCCAAGATTGAGTCCAACCTTTGTCACCACCTTGTCAACCAGACCAGAGCACCGAGTGCCACATCCATTTGTTATGGAGAAGGAATTTGTAGGCACCTGGTGCAGCCATAGGAGAGATGCCAGTGCTGATTTTGGGGTGTTTTAACAAAATGCAAATTCACAGTGGTAGAACCACAAAAGCTGGAAGGATCAGTGGGAGACAACAGGCACATCCTCTCCTTTCCCAGCTGCCATTCCAGGCTTCCTGCACGTTTGTCAGCTACACTGCACCTTGTTCCAGAGAGGGTAATGTTAGAAAAAAAGAGTTTTATTTAAATAACTGAAATCCTGGAGCCCAACTCTGCAGCACATGTCAGAGTCCATGACAGGTATTTGAACGTCCATGGTGCACAGTCTGATCATGTGTGGACATTTCTTGCTGTGCTGTTATTCCAACAACCCCCATCCCCTCATAGCCTGTCCTGGGAGAAAGGGGTGACCTGAGCATGATGGGAGGCTGGAAGGGGAGGAAGGCAAGGACAGGCAGGTAGAGAGGAACTAAACAAGGTGAAATCAGTGATGGAGAAAGTTGATGGGGTGAGGCACAGGAAGGAACGTGCCTGTTGTGATTGTCTAGACACGGGCAATACAGTGACCCTGCTGGAGCCCACGTGTGCACCCAAAGCTCTGTCTGACTCCCATCTCCTCCTCACAGGCACCAGCAGCACCTACAGAACAGCAGCACTGTCCTCCAGCCCCAGGCCCTTCCCACGTGCCGACAGCTGCCGCAGGAGCCCCGCGCCCGTCTCGCTGTGGACTTGGACCTTCTGGGACAGAATCATTTCAAAGAGGGTGCTCATCTCCGAGAGGAAGGTGCTGGTCAGCCTCGTCCCAGCAGCGCTGGAGTCAGCCCCAGCACCTTTGCCAAAGGTCTCAAAGGTCCTTGGTTTCTCCTGCCTTGCAGCCTCCTCCTCCTGAGAGGACTGGGGGTTGTCGGGGGAGAAGACGTTGTCCTTGTAGCTGCTGGTGAGGGGGAAGGAGAGCCGGGCCATCCACGCTGGGTCTGCGGCCGTGAGTCTCTTGAGGGCCAGCTCTGAGGGAGACAGGGAGCAGAGGAGACAACAGGAGAGAAGAGAGGGAAAAAATCAAATAAATAAAATTATTGATTAATGAGAAGATCTCCTGAAATCACTGAGAGAAGTGATCGTAAACAGGTCTAGAGAGAAACTACCAAATCATCCAACCCAGTAGCTTGGTAAAACCAAGCAAAATAGAACTGGTTTAAAACTAGTGGGGTTTTTTGTTTTGTGTTATTGTAATAACCATTAGAATCACTTTGCTTTCTCATTTGTTGCAGCCTGGAGTGGCACTTCACTAAATTGTTTGCAAAGCTGGAGAGAGGGAGGGTTTGGGACTGGCTAAAGGGGAGCTGACAATGGAAAGCTTGCAAGGGGGAAGTGTTGGACTCAAAGATAGTGGACTTCCCTTCAGGGTCACTCCAGGGGGGGAATTTGCTGCTAAGCAGGCAGATTGAGACTGAGAAGAAATGGGTTATTGTGAAAACAATAATAGCAGAATGAAATTCTGGATTATAAAATGCACAGCTGGGTGGTTGAGCACTAGTAACAAACAATTGAGCTATAAAGTGGTTGTTCCTCGATTGGAAACAGCTGAGGAGCAGTGGGAGCCTGGGCTGGGGGTTGGGGCAGGCTCCTTAGTGCACCAGTAATGTGATTTTGTCCCCAAATGGAATCATCCAGTGTGCTGGTCAAGGTATGAAGGCATATCCATGGTATTGTTACCGGGTCTGGTGAGACCTGATTAGGAGAATTACACACAAATCTGATTATCCATCTGGAGGAGAGAGGAGCTGGAATGACACCAGTGCAGGGAAAACTCTGGGGATGAAACCAGGAGTGATCCAGGACAACATGATGGACACCCCAGGAGTGGGGGTTACTGCTCCTGAGGAAGCAAGTGCTCCCCAGGGCCCTGCTGCAACCTGCCACTATTTTGAGGAGACAAGCACCGGCAAAGGAAATCTTTAGGCTTAAAATAGTGCTGGCAAAAGAAGAAGTGATTACAACTGTCCATGAATAAACATCTCCTGGAAAAGAAAGGAAGGACCCCATAGCAGGGAGAGCCTGGAATAGCCTCCCCGTCAGACGGCAGGAAAGGAAATGGGGATTCTTGTTTTTTGAGGTAGTTGGTAAACAAGAGTCCGTGCTGAGGAGCACAGAGCTGCCTTCCAGCCCCACGTTGTTCCTTCCCAAAGCATATCCCAGAACCCCAGGGGGGTTGGAAGTGACCACCTGGTTTGTGAAACACTTTGAGAGCAGTAAAACAAGTCACGGGTGTCTGGTAACAAAACACAGCAGTGCCAGGGTGGCCAGAGCTGGTGTCACTAATAATGGTGTGGCTCTGACTTGTACAGTGACCTCTGGAAGGAGGGTCCCCATTCTGATGCAGTTATCCTGCTGCTTCCAGAGGATAATCAGTATCCTCTCCCAGCCTGGGACACAGGGTCCCCACTCAGTGACTGAGACAAGGCTCCTTCCTCAGCCAACTAGTCCTTTTTCTCTAAAAAATTGCTTTCCTTGGATGGAATGGGGGTGAGAGCTGGGACTCAAACCTGGTAAGGAGACAAGGGCAAGTACATCAATTAGGTTTTTGTTTCAGATGAAGCCCCAAAATTCTTTTGTGTTGCTTCACTTCCAGGATTTCTTTCTGCAGTCCCAGTATTCTTTCAGTCACAGTGACTGTTCCTTAACAAGAGTGCTGCAGCCCCATGGTTTTGCTCGAAAACACCCAGTTTTCTCCTCCCAATCTGCAAGAAGCCACTGCATTCCCTGAATATTTGGATGCCTCAGCTCTGGAGTAAGACACAACCACTTCTGCTCCCTGCCAGGAGAGCCACGACTCCGTGGGCTGATGGTCCTGTGGCCATGAAACGTTTTGATTAGGTTTGTTTAATTTGACCAATAACTCTTTACTGCCTTGTTTTAATGGTGCTTTGAGAGCAGGGGTTGTTTTTATCATCAATAAAGTTCTATCTCTCATCTGCTGCTGGGAGAGGCTGTGCTTGGCTGGTGGGGGTCGGCGTTAACAGAGGGGGCTGAGTTCATCCCGCAGCATAAACAACCCCAGAGCTGCCTGGGACTGATTAATCCCGCAGTTCCTCCTGCTGGGAACAGCACAAAGGCCCAGACAGCCTCAGCCAGCTGTTAAGATACTCCTGAGCACAAGCAAAGCTTCCTTCCTCCCTCTCAGGATGCAAGTCCACTTCTCTGTTTGTGTTTGGGAGAGGAGGAAGGAGCCCGGCAGCTCCGGCGTCTGCGCCCTGTCGCCTTCTCGGGAAGCTCTGGGCTCATGGTGAGGGTTTTTCACCACTGGAACAGGGCAGCCTCCTTGGGAATGGCACAGCCTCACCATTCCCTGCTGGCATTACTGAGAAATGGAACACAGTTCCTTCCAAAAAGAACCAACTTGATGTTGTCATGATGGGGAATCGTGCTCTGCAAACTTGTCAGGGTCTTTGGAAGGGCTGGATGAAGAGTCCTGGATAACTTTGGACAAGGGCATGGAGTGATAGAACAAGGGAGAACACACTGACAGTCAGCAGGGTTAGATGGGATATTGGGAAGAAATTCTTCTCTGTGAGGGTGGTGGGGCACTATCCAGGGAAGTGGTGGAATCATCATCCCTGGAAGCGTTCAAAAAATGTGGATGTGGCACCTGGGGACACGGGTTAGTGGCAGACCTGGCAGTGCTGGGGTGGTGGTTGAACTCGATGGTCTGAGAGGGCTTTGCCAGCCTTAATGATTCTGTGAAGTTCCAGTACTTTGGCAAAAGGGTTTTTTCCTACCAGATCCAAGACTGATGTGAGATGGTATTTCATGGATCTGCCCCACCACAGCATGGATTTTCTAGGATGCTCCTTGTGGGCAGGACTGGATCCAGACAGAGATCCCTTTACTGGGATTGGTGCCTGTCAGTGCACCATGAGATGCACCTGGGCTCCTGTTCACTCCCTGCCCTTGGCTGCAGGACCTTTAAATCCAAAAACCTTTCAGCTCTCATTTCACCCAGCCTTTCCTTCATTTACTCCTTACCAGAATAAAAGAGCAGGAAGGTAAATGGGGAGAAGCAGCAGGTTCTCTCTCTAAGGAAGAGCACCAAAAATGCCCAACTCTGGAATTAAAACCACCCCAGCAGCAAACCTCAATGAGTTCCTCTTCTTCCACAATGAAATTTCTGCTACAGGACATGAGTCAGCCCAACTCTTTCAAATTGAAATGCCAGTAGAGGAGATTTTTAGAACAAATCAATAAAAGGAACATGTAGAAAATGTCAGGCCCAGATGGTATTCACCCCAGAGAGCCAGAGGAACTCAGATATGAAATTGCCTGGTTTATTAGCTGCTGTTGGTTAACTACTGCTTCAAATGAACAGGGATCAGAGGAAGGGAAGGAAAAATTGTGACAGGAGTTTTTAAGCGTGTGAAGGTGAATCTGGTGCGGGCAGATTCATAGAAATCCTCCTGTGCCTGGCTCAGCACAGGGACAAGGAGATGCTGTTCCAAAGGGAACCAACATGACACTGTCAAGGCAGGGAATTGTGTTTTGCAAATCTGTTGGAGTCTTTGGAAGGGCTGGATGAAGAGTCCTGGGTGACTTTGGACAAGGGCATGGAGTGACAGGACATGGGGCTTCAAACTGCCAGAGGGCAGGGGTAGATTGGATTTTAGGAAGAAATCCTTCCCTGTGAGGGTGGGGAGGCCCTGTCCCAGGTTGCCCAGAGAAGCTGTGGCTGCCCCTGGATCCCTGGAAGTGTCCAAGGCCAGGTTGGAGGGGGCTTGGAGCAACCTGGGCTAGTGGAAGGTGTCCCTGCCCAGGGCAGGGGGTGGCATGAGATGATCTTTAAGGTCTCTCCCAAGCCAAACCATTCCATGATTCAATTCTGTGATGACAGAGGACACCTGAGCTGGTGGAAAAGCACCGGCCAGGCTCTCAGGGACCTGAGCTGTCCCTGAATCAACAGCCAGGGACTAATGTGTGTTAAATGCTGAGAAGTGAGGGTAGGAACAATTAATCTTCCCCACCAAGGGAGGTCATCAGCAGAGTCCCAGAGTATCTGCTCATCACAGTGATAAATGACGTGGAGAAGGGGACGGTGTTGGTGTTGACTCTACTGAAATACCCAGAAGCAGAGGGTTGTGAAGGACCTAATAATGCTGAGAGCCGTGAGTAACACGTGGCTGGTGGATTTCTGCGTCACCAACTGTTGGACAATTGTCCCAGGGAACAACATGTCATGTACTGATGACTCTCCCATCACGCAGAGGAGGGGTTTGGGAGTCACCCCAACAGTCTGGTGACAGAGCTTGGGCAGTACAGGAATGAAGAACAAACCAGAAAACCTCCTTATACCCCCAGTGTCTCCTAAACACTGGACACAATTCTGGTCACCACATCTCAGTAAAGAGACACTAAAATTAGCAGCAGGTTGGTCACTGGAGATGAGACTGGATTAGAGGAAAGAGGAGCCTGATGGGTCTTGACAAGGACAACTCTCCACCTTTCTCACTCTGCATGGACTAGGAGACCATGAAAAGGACGGGCTCGGGTCAGGGTGGGAAGCAGATCACCAGGTGCAAGGTTAAACTGGACTTCACCCCTACACAACAACAGAGCTCAACCTCACACAACAGCTAAACAACAGCAGGATACATCCACGGGAAAGGAGATCTTCCATAAACACAGGAACAAATCCAACGTGAAGCTCAGCAAGTGCCTTTTTGCTGTGCACTGCCTGGTACTGAAAGCCTGGG